AATGCGTAACACATGTCCCAACCAGCGTAATCTATGGAGGTCGATCACTTGCTTCAGTGGGCGACCGCGATTGTCTAAAACTCTACGCCTGACCTCAGCATTGCTTGTCCGGTTACCCCACCAGATTCGTGCAAATCCGACGTAGACAGCGATGTTCGAACACCGACAGTCTGTCTTTTTCCTGTTTTCCTAATGGCGAGCTGACACTTCNNNCACTTCATCCGCGATGCGTTCACCGGGTGATATATAACTGCCCAAGTAACAAAACTTATCCACTTGCTCTATTAATTTCCCAGTTAGGGTGAGACTGGGTGCAGGACCAACCCAGTCTTGAAGTAATATTTTACACTTTGAAGGTGCAAAACTCATACCGAACATGGCTACACTGGCATTCAAGCAGTCCAGAAATGCTTGCAACTTACCTGGGTCTTCACTTAGTAGCACAATGTGGTCTGCATATTCTAGATCAGACAGTCTGCCACCTGGGAGTAAATTGATGCCACCATTCCTCGCACGAGGATAGGGCTGTTTCCATAATCAGATCTATAACAAAGTTAAACAGAAAAGGAGAGAGAGAGGGCAACCCTGACGAAAACCACTTTCCATGGTGAATTCGGGCGAAAACGTGTCGTAAGCTCGGACTCGACTTCGGCTATTAGTATAAAGGAAGTGTAATATTGAAATAAACTTCCCGGGTACACCTTTCAGAGAAAGGCAGTACCAGAGTTTAGAGCGGTCGACTGAGTCGAAAGCATGAGGTAGAATGGAATAGTGTTAATAAACAAGGCGAAAAACTATCTTTACTCACCATTATTGCGGGGTATGCGAACGTTCCTTCTGTCTGGAATAAATAGTTTTCGTAAGGAGATTCACTTGATTCTGGATTTCTCTGCAGAGTAGCATATAAAAACGATTCACCAAAAAGAATGAGTATATGCTACTTGCTATAATTAAGTAGCATGATGTGTTACCGGTTTCAATAGAAGTACTGTTGATTTAAAAGCGACCTGAAAATGACCACCACCACCACCACCACCACCAACAACAACAACAACAATACCACCACAATCCTCTTCAAAAGATGCAATGCTTCTCTTTTCAAACAGCGAACTTTGTGAGCGGCTTTTAAAGGAGATCTACAGTAGCTTTCGCAGAACCAGTGATCTAAATCACAAAACTTTACAACTACCTATGTACAAGTATTGCGTGATATATTATTTCATAATATCTCTGGCAATTAAATCCAGTTTCCATTTATGTTATTCAAAGTCCACGGGAATAGCCGTTACAAAGTACTTTTGCCAGTGTACTACAATTTTATTCGTGAAAATAACCAAGTTCTGTGATTCAGTTGAAGTGACTGGTAAAGGAATGCAATCCCTACTCATTGGTAGTAGTAGTAATAATAATAGTAATGGTAGTGGTAGCAGNATTTTGGTTCCACACAGAACATGCTGTTTGAGTTTGGTAAATTTGAGAACGTGTAATATGACCTACCTCAAGATCATTCTTTCATAAAACGAAATCAAACAATGGACGTTCGCACTTCAAGGGATAAAGGGTGACCTATTTTGGAAGAACTAGTACATCCAAAATTTTCTTCATTCTTTTGCAATGGTAATTAACCTAGTGCACGGTTGAATGTGACCGGCTTACGGCAGTATGACAGAAGTTAATGCCATACAAAAACTGATTTTATTTTACAAAAATGCCAAGTGCTTGATTCGTTCTTCACTTTAGATAAGGATTGTTGGTATCTATTGGGAAATTGTGCGTAAAACATTATTATATGGAATTTTCAGCTTGATTTCTACATAACTTCGGAATCATGTACTAGATAAATTATGAAACGACAAGAATTACAAACTATTTACGTCCATTGAAGTGAAAGTATTGTTTTATTTGACGACGTTCCTTATGAAGCCCTAATGGGTTTGTTTCTTCACCGACATCTTTGCAACCACGAACTTCTGGGGATGTAGAGCTCTACGACCGGTTAACCCAATCTTTCAAAACCAGTGGCGGTTTGTGTCAAGTGGGCTTTAGTTCATAATTTCTGTTTAACTTCGTAGTCGTAGAATAAGGAACGCACTCAGTGGTTTTCAAATATGGCCATTGAGTGGGTATATGGAGAAAAGCTGTACGACATCGAGCACACTGACGACAGTATTTCCCTGTCAGAACATTTGGATGGCATACGGAACGCACCTGACAGAGCGAAACGCACTGTTACGCTATTCGGTATGTGCTTTGCACAGTCAAAGTGCAAACTAATACTGCAGGACTGGGTGTCCTCTGGTCCGGCTCCGATGTTTGATGATCAATAATTGTTTATAGTGGATTGTTTCTCTTACATGGAAAGCTGCGTGATCGATGACGATAAAGCAGCAAAGGAGGTAACCGCTCACATTACCATGTTACCAGTAGGATGCATAGAACCAAATCATCTTCGTCACCAACGTGATATTTCCTTAAAACTGTGTGGTTAGTTCTGTTTTACAATGATGAGACCCTAAATTTGTGCGAAAATGACGTTCGTCATCTAGAGGACTTCGACAGTAAAACTTTACGTAGTGTGGCGTAGGTTGATTAAAGTGAGCAGGTAAGAAACAATGAGGAGATCCAACAGATATTTGGTAATGACTCGATAGAAATTTTCGCCATCTTATCGCATTCAGATTGGTAGACTTATGTGGATTGCATATGCCCAGTTTTCGACCTCATTGACACACTTTATTCGCTGTTGCTACTCCCGGTCAAAGAAAATCACCTGTAAACCCACAAATTATTTAAGGGATGAGGCACAACCAAACATTTCTGAACAAGAAAACAGTACTCTGTAGATCATACATGATACGCTAGCCCCACCGTAAACAACGATGTTCGGTTTTTGTGAATTATTCTGAATTTGATGTACAATGGGAAAATAGTATCGACCTGGAATGTCACTCACTCCAATTTGTTGACCATTTCTGACAGATTACTTTCCGTCACAGATCCTCTGGATTCCTGCCCGTTTGGTATTAGTTGACCGAGACTGTGCTTGCGCCTCTGATCTCGAGCGTAGAACGGGGCGTTAGGCTGATTGAGATGAACGCAACAACAGAGAGGTGTGGCAACTGGAGCGCAGAGCTTTATTATTTCGAAAAAATTCACTTCCAGATTTATCGTTTCGATGGTAAATTCGTTCATAGTACGATAATCGTGCCTTCTTGGGATAAACAACCAAACGGTCTCATTTCATAATTTGCATGGGCATTTGTTTCTTGTTTTGTTGACACTACTCACAAGTAGTGTGAATAGATTGAAAATATTTCTGGTTTCCTCTACACTTTGGCAACAATCGAGAGAATGGTGTTTGTATAAACACCGTATGGACGTAAACCTCCAATCTGAATAATATGAATAAATACCGGTACTTTTCATAGAACTTTGAATAAATTAAAATAGTTTGAGCCTAAATAAATAATGCTCGTATGGCTATGTGCTGAGTTAATTGTATTTACGGGACCATTTCTAACATTAGTTTTCCTTTCAAAGCACACTCAATTTTTCTGTCAAAATTACAACAAAAGATCTATCGGAATATCAGCACAACATGTCTGTTCAGGAGTGACACCCAAAACGAATCTTTATCAACCATGAATACGGCATATATCTTCTCAAAATGCAATCCAGTTAGACGTTCAGGAGTGTACCGGGATCTATCCACTGAGTAACATGGCATAGCATGGCTTACTGGGTAACAAGAGACCTGGTTACGTACATGCTCTCCTAAGGATGACTGAGATCGCCACCGTGCGACTGCACTTTGCTTCGCAATTTGATCAACTTGTTGCATCATATGGTGAACTGTAAACGGCAAAAATAGGCAGAAATTTTCAAAATTCACATTATTACGGTTGACAATAATGTTTTTCTCTCTCGCTTCGTAGATAATAGCCATAGATAATGTAGTGAAATGGGTCCGTAAAGATCTTTATTTTCTAGATAAGTATTGATCGAACTCGTGCGATAAGACTCTTATTTTGTAAATATAAAAATAAGCTGACTGGCGAAACTTTTCTAGCTTAAATACTCACATTAACTATGTCGCTATAAACTATTCAAGTAAAATTCCTCATTCTAGAGGAACAAGTCAAGTTGAGTTGAGTCAAGTCAAGTAAAGCTTTATGCACCCGATAAGATGAATTTTCAGCACTTTCGACAAGTTACAGTGAGAAAAACGCTAAGTATTGGAAAAAGAAGAAAATCTGCATTTATTAAATGAAAAACAAACGGATTATATAAAATCCTAATGTGACATATGATTGTTCAAGTCAGCAATAATATTTGCTTGGTTGATCAAGATGCGAGCAAAATAAGGGATCATGCTCTTTCTATGTGTGGTGGTGTGGGCACAAAGAACCCGAAATTGGGAACGGCTACTCGGAAGGAGACACCGATTTATTGAGATGGGAGTGCAGGTGGTGTTCTTCATCGGACAAAATATGGCTGATAAATCGATCGCATGAATCAAAATGTTTGCTGACAATAAAGTCAACCAAAATGGTCCTTGAAATGCCACTGCAACGAGAAAGAAGTTTAAGGGATCTGGAAAAGAGAATAAAGTCTTTCTCCTTCAGACCAGGAAAATATACGGGGGGACAGCACAACCAATGTGGAAGAATGCATGCAGTCACAAATTTAAGAATTACATTTAAGGGAACGCCGAGCTTTTTAAGCCTAAAAGTGTAGCAGGATAGCGAACGAACCCTAATATAAATGTTTTCAACATGTTTGGTTCAAGAAAGATTATGTGACAAAATAACTCCAAGATAATTCATAGAGTTAACTTTGGGGATTGTATTACCATTAACAGAAACTTTAGGCCGATTAATCAAAAAAACGTTTGGTAAGGCATGCGTGTTTTAAGGCTAAAAGAAACATCCACACATTTATCTACATTTAGCATTAAAGATCGGGGAGTCGATCAGCTGAAAATGTTATTTAGAAAAGCTTGAATTTGACAGGAACTATCAGGAATAGTCGAGGATCAACCGACCACAACGTCATCTGCATACTTGCAGGCGATAAAGTTGGGAGGGATGGGAAGGTCCTTAATGTACAGTGAAAAAAGAAATGGAAACAAAATTGAACCCTAAAAACTCCAGAGTGAACTTCTATCAGGGAGGAAGATTTATCGTTACTAAAAGTGTATTGCGGCCGATGAGTGAAGTATTTAATTAGTACATTTAGCAAATTCGGTGCCAGACCACAATCAGAAATACGTTGAATGAGAATGCCGCGGTCAAGTGATCCGAAAGCATTAGCATAATCAAGAAAAGTTGAACGGACGATGCTAGCCTCTTTATCCAGTAAGGATGAAACGTAGTGAATAATGTAAGCATCAAGAGTGGAATGCGAATGTTTGTAAGCAAGTTGAATAGGGTTATGGGTGACAGATAACAAGGTCTAAGAAACATAAAATATGATCTTTGATAAGTTGAGCTTGCGGTGTGCAGCTCATTGAATAAGCGTTTTGTAGTGTCACTGTAGTGAAGACACGGGCGTAGGCATTTTGGTTTGATAGTGAGTCGTATGCATGTCTCACTGGACCTTTCGGTTCATGGTTGCCTTTTGTATTTTTCCTGTCTTGGAGGTCGGGACAACAAGAGCATCACAAACATTACGAACCGGTGATGAGACAGTCTCGTGTCAGGTTGAGGAATATCAAGTTGCGCGAATTGAGGAGAATGATCCAATCAAGTCGTAAAGAGGGTGTGAGGGAATTCACTTGTTTCAATTCACGAGTAAAAGGAGCAAGACGGGGTGTGAACCGATGAAGCAATAGCACTGTATATCGAAGTCCTTACACACACGAATAACTCGTAGATGATATTGAACGCTATCACGGAAATACGTAACCGATTATCCAAATCTACTGAGTATTTTTAGAGAAGTTATCTTGGATTAACCCATTCGATTGTTAAAAGGCCCCTGACACTTTTGGGTGTGGGTTTCACTCCTCGGTAGATCGTTTATTCCCCACAATTTCATGCATTTATACGTGATTGAAATGTTTGTGACAACCGACACAAAGACAGTACTGGACAGCTGTTTCGTCCTCTTTGGGACTCGTCAACAGTGAACACGTTTTGTGTCCACGTCACCAAGAGTGGCTGGTGCCTCTTAACAATCGAATGGGCTAATCCAAGCCTAATATTCTTAATTGATTGAGCCATTCGCACAAGGTGATAATCGTCGGCCGTGTAGCCCAGGGGTCAGGGTTTGAAGTCACAACCCGAACGTTCGCGGTTCGAGTCCTGACAGGAACACAAAAAGTAAACACTGATGACGAGTCCAGTGCTCTTTGTCGATTATCACAAACATTTCCATCACATGTAAACTACTGAATAGGTTTATGAAAATTTAAAACACACATGTGCAGAAAACAATTTCAAAGACTGGACATCAATAAAGAAATAGCCGAACTGTCAGAACATTTTGATACAAGGATAATCTCGCACGGGGGCGTGGGCGTAATCTGTCTCTTCCACATAAAACACTCACGTTGTTCTTCCATCAAATGATACATCCTCTCATCATGCTCGTGTTTGCTTGAAATGTATTCTGCGAGTTTGTTATTCTCTCGCATCAACTGCTCCGCTTTTCTGGAAAAGAAACAAAAGTTCAAAATTGTGAAGAATAATTCTCGTTTATCGTTCGGTCAGATAGGACGGACACCATTGTAAGCACTAGAAAAACTTCGGATGAAGTTCTACAATTATTCACGGGACTGGAGATTTAAATGAGATTTAACTCTTCAGGTTTTCACGAAGTGTATTATGCATAAAAACAAACGAAAATCTTTCTCCGCTAACAGTATGTTTTATGCCACTGTATACGTGAATAGACTGTGAATATTAGGTGATCAAAGAACAGAATGTGGCAACATTTCGTTGCATCTTGCTGTACGCATTTAGTAAATCACTGACAATGTGAAAAATCGATTTAGCCCGACCAGAATCACAAATAGGTCATTGGAGTATTTTCTTTCTCTCACCATCAGACACCATTCTAGAATAGTAGCCGCGACAAATAGACCAATCACCTAGTGGGAACACTCAATGGGAACTCGTCTGTTCAGCAATGTAGTACACAGAAGTGCAAAAATCCATCATTGCATTGCATGTCCGGTTCGATGCGATAGGAAAAATACACCTAAGTAAGAATGTATTGATCACCTGCTTGCTTTTTGTCCACGAAAGCAGTATATTAATACATTAGTCAAGGCAAAGTTTGAAAAAATAACCACAACAGTCAAAGAGGTGAGCCAATGGAAGAAATGCGTCTATCCTCACCTCGCAAATCAAGCCATCTGAGACATCATTTAGCCCGGTTTCGGACTTTCTCGTAAAATGTATTCAATCTCACAGCTGACAATTGCATTACACAAAACACCGGGTATAAACCTTTGCATTTACCCTCAATCAAGGTCTGACCTATAAATATACAGGTGAAAGGGCAGTTCGTGGTAAATTTCAACAACAATACATCTGCTACCCCCCTTCCATTGGCTTTAAAATTCTTCATAGAATGATTTAACAATACGAATCTTTCATTCGATCCTGTTAAATTTCTCCCTTTTTCATTTATTGAGGTACGTTTGACGAGTAATCACCCTTTATAGGCATTCTACCAGATGAATCAATCGTCGAAAGGGCACGTAATCATTACGCATCATCACAGCTTACATGTTTTATTTCCGACGACCGCTATTTTCGTCATATGCAACCAACAATGCCTAAAACCCCAGAAAGCTGATCTCTTAATTTGCTATCGCCTAGGACATTCAGGGTGGCCGTTGAGTATAATCTCTAGATTGATTCACTTTTGTGCCTTATCTGTTATTCTCCCTGACTCGTTCTTACAAGATTTTATGTTATAAGTCACTCCTTAAAAGCGCGCCTAAGAATGTGCTATAGTTTCGAATTGATTGCCAATCAGCAACTGACATTCTCTGATCCTCTGTGACACTTCATTCCGGTCGGCGCTTCACATCCACTTGCAAAAGACACACACACACGCTCTCTCTGTATCCCACTTCTGTTGTCCATAATACATGTATGTCTTCACACACGTGTACCTTAGCTTATCACAGCTCTTCTATGTTATGTCCTGTCGTTCTCGTTTATTGGATTCGCAGGGTGATCAATCGAACAGTCAAAACAAAACTCACGTAGTTTTGGTCAAATTCTCCTCACCTGTATCACGCGCATTTGTCCTTCCTCATCTGCACTACACACCATGTATCAATTTATACCCTTTGTATGCACTCTACAGTTAACGTTAACTTTTTTTCGAATACAAAAAGACCTATCCTAACTAAAGGAATGAAGCTTATTCTTGACTTGATTTAACTAAGCTATCACGTTTTGAACTCAGCTCTCCAATCTATCTGCCACAGACCTAAGCCAAAATACTTTATTTTCTTTTAAGCG